GGCGGCGTCGGGGTCGTGCAGGAAGCGGATCTCCAGCGGCGCCGAATCCTCGCCCACGTCGATGGCCTGCACGTACCTGTGGGTGCTCCAGTCCCACACGTTGAGCCGGCGCCCGTAACGCCCTGGGATGGGGAATTCCGTGAGGGGGGAGGGGGCTCAGCCCCCGGGGGCAGCAGAAACCCCTCCTGGTTCTCCTGGGGGGGGGAATTCGGAGCCCCCTCCTCACCTTTCCCGAGGTCCCTGGGGTCGAAGCCGTAGCCCAGGCACTTGGGCACCCCCCACTCGGTGCTGATCAGCACGTTGTGCCGGGGCTGGTACCAGAAGTCGTAGCCCATGGGGGGGGTCTCGTCCCCCCTCTCCCAGTTGCCCTTGACCTCGAAGGTCTCCGTGTCCAGCAGGATGAACCCACCTGAGGGGGTGGGGGGAAGGGGGGAGAGGGGAATCCCCCCCTCCCCCCCCTGGTTAGCACCGATTTGGGTTGTAAAGCAAGCAGGGACCCCCCAGATCCACCCTCTGGAGGGGGTGGAGGGTCTGGATGGAGCCCCCCATGGGCACCCCTGGGTGCAGGGGCTGTCCCTGCTGTGGTTCTGGGGTACCTTTCCCGTTGCCAGCCGGGTCTCCCAGGGTGCTGATCATCACCTCCCCGCTGCCCAGGCAGTGGGAGGTGTGGGGGTAGCCCAGGCCACACTTCCAGAACACGTCCTCGGGGTTCACGACCTGTGGGATGGGGATGGGGACACCCCCAGGAATCATCAACCCCCTCCCCCCATCCTGGGACACTGTCACCCCCTTCCCTGACCCCAGGGGGCGGGGAATTTCGGGAATTTTAAGCTTTTCCAAGCCCAGCCCCCTTCCCACAGCGATGGATTGGGGGGGGGGGGCACCTTGAAGAGCCGGGGGGCCCTCGGGTCGGTCCCCACATCCACGATGTAGATGCGGGAGGAGATGAGGCTGGGCAGGACCAGGCGGTCCCTCCTCTTGCTGACGTCCCCGAAGCAGCTGCTGCAGACGTTCCAGCCCGAGTGGTGCAGCTCATCCCCCACGTTGGGCATGGGCAGCCGGTGGATCACCTGGAGAGGGTGGATCGCAGGGAGAGGGGGGGGTTGGAATCGACGGTCCTTGGGGTGGGTTTTGAGGTCCTGCCCGGGTCCCAAAGGAGGGTGTTCGTACCTGGCTGTAAGTGGGGGATTTGGGATCCACGTCCACCGTGGCCAGGAAGTCGGGTTGGCCCCTGCCAGTGTTCCTGTAGATGCAGGGCACGTAGATGATCTCCTCCCGGGGGCCTGGAGGGGTGGGGGGGTTGGGAGAGGGTCAGGAAAACCCCCCCAAACCTCTGAATGAAAGAGAGACCCCCAAACCTCTGAATAAAAGAGAGAGAGACACCTAAATCTCTGAATAAAAGGGAGAGAAACCCCCAAACCTCTGAATAAAAGAGAGAGAGACCCCCAAACCTCTGAATAAAAGAGAGAGAGACCCCCAAATCTCTGAATCAAAGGCTCCCAGGAGCCTCCTGATCCCTGCAGAGGTGGCACCAGCATTGCCCAAGCCAGGGCTGGAAGGGGAAGAACTGGTTTAGGAAGTGCTGAGGAAGGGCCTGAGAGCGGGAAAGGAGATTTGGGATCTCTGGATCTGGGTCAGGATCCTCAGGATCCTCACAGGGCATCATCCTCGGGCAGGGGGTGGGGGGAGGATTCTTCTCTCCATCGTTTTCTCAGTTCAAAAAGGCTTTCCAGGGAATGCCGGGCCATTCCCAAACTCCCCGGGGTGCCA